TGACCTCGGCTATTCTTGACCACTCTTCCGCTCGCTCCTGGTACCGTTTGCTACCGACCCTGCCTGCCCAACTTCGTTTGATTTGTATATATGGTTATCTGTTGGAGGTTGGGTTGTTTGCACTTGTGTTATGTTTACCTTGCACTGCGTTTGTGTTTGTTTAGTCCTTAATAAATTGTCTTGTTTACTCTATACCTGAAGCCTGCATTTCCCTGTGTCAGTCCACACACCTCTGGTCATACCCGGAGCCCTGACATTACACCAAGGCCATTCCTGACCAGAAGTGGCTGCACAGGGAAGCCATCTTGGCTTGTTGTTGGGGAAGGATGCATCTGGATGAAGTTGTATACTTATCTTTGCTAGCAATAGAAGACAGAGTACTGCTGCCAGATTTTGAGGAAGTATGCCAGGGATCAGCAGCTAGAGTGCATGCAAGTTGCTCATTCCCTAGTAGATCAGGGCATGGAGTTTTCTGAGCTGCAGCCATTGATCAAGGTTTGTGCTGAATTGGCTCTGTCCTGTACCCCTAAAAGCAGGGATGACTTTTTTCCCCCATTCAGTGCAGATCAAGTGGAATCACTGGTATAGTTGTTGGAGGATTATCCAGATTGCTTCTGGGAGCATTATGCAGCTTGTCCATCACATGTGCTAGTGGATTGCATAAATGCAGTGCAGTCTTTGGTCAGACAGGCTATGTGTAAGCTGAGTTTTGTTCAACCAATACTACAGTCCTGGTCAGACTTGTTACACCCAGCCTCATTCAGCTTGCAACAAACCAGACCTGCTTCTAATCATTCCTCTGCTCAAAGCTCTATTCCTGCATTCCCGACAGCACCCCCCGTTACAGCCCAATATACCCTGCTATCTACCCTATATCAGTCCGCTGCTCCCACTCGCTGCACCTATTCTGCCTTTAACCAGTTGACCTCCAGAGGATTTACCCCCCTTAATGACCAGGCCTCTTTTTGCTACTCGGCGCTGCACTAATTCAACTGATAATTGCGTGGTCATGCAATGCTGCACCCAAACGAAATTTACGTCCTTTTTTTCACACAAATAGAGCTTTCTTTCGGTGTTATTTGATCACCTGTGCACTTTTTATTTTTCACGCTATAAACAAAAAAAAGGCCACAAATTTTTGAAGAAAAACAATATTTTTTTACTTTCAGCTATAAAAAATATATAGTAAACTCAAAGTTGGTTATAAATTTAGGCCAAAATGTACTCTGCTACATGTTTTTGGTAAAAAAAATCCCAATAAGTGTATATTGATTGCTTTGTGTGGAAGTTATAGCGTCTACAAACTATGGTATAAATACTGCAATTTACGCCATTTTTCTGCTATACAGCGCTGCACTAGTTTAACGGACAATTGCGCGGTCATGCAATATGGTACATAAATGAAATTTACATCCTTTTTTTCCCCACAAATTGAGCTTTCTTTCAGTGGTATTTGATCGCCTGTGTGGTTTTTTTTTTTTTGCGCTATAAAAAAAAAAAAGGCTGACAGTTTTGAGGAAAAAAAAACAATAATTTTGGACTTTTTGCTATAAAACATGTCCAGTAAAAAAAAAAATGCAAAAATCAAATTTAGTCATAAATTTCTTCCAAAATGCATTCTGCGACATGTCTTTGCTACAACAAAACACCCAATACGTGTAAATTAATTGGTTTACGTCAGTGTTTCTCAACTCCAGTCCTCATGGATCCCCAACAGGTCATGTTTTCAGGATTTCCCTCAGATGAAACAGCTGTGGTAATTACTAAGGCAGTGAAACTGATCAAATCACCTGTGCAAAATAATGGAAATCCTGAAAACATTACCTGTTGGGGGTCCATGAGGACTGGAATTGAGAAACACTGGTTTACGTGAACGTTATAGTGTTTACAAATGGCGGGAAAGATACTGTGATTTTTAGGTTTTTTTTTTATACTAATAATGGCAGCGATCAGCAAATTATGGCGGCGATCAGGGACTTATGGCAGCGACCAGCGACTTATGGCGGGACTGCGGCGGACATTCTGACATTGGGGGGTACTGACTTGGGGTCACTGACATCCCCAAAAACACTAATACAGTGATCAGTGCAAAAAAAAAAAACACTGACACTGTACTAATGGCAATGGGGAGGAAGGGGTTAACTTTACTTTGCAGGGAAGGGTTATAGGAGTAAGGGGGAGTGTTTTACTAGGGAGCGGGGGTGTGTACTGGACGGGACAAGGCTGATCGAGAAAGAGAAACTGTTCTTTCTCAATCAGCTCATCCTCGAGCTGACAGGGAAGTGACAGACAGCACAGCTACTGCAGCTGTGCTGTCTGTCACTATTTGCCGCCGATCGCCGGGAAACAGCCGCTAAGGACCGGCTGTGACCCGGCGACTGACATCTGCGGTGGTGATCGGCGGGACAGATAGGGCGGTGGCGCGCCTTGCGTGCGCCCCCTATTTGTTTACAAAACACACGTTTTAAAATGTGGTTTTGCCTGCGAGTGCCGCCCTGCCGCCGTATACCTACAGTGGCTGGGCAGCAAGTGGTTAACCCTGTAAAGAAGTCCTCTGTAGCAACTGCTCCCTCCTCTGTTCCATCCCCCAGCTCTTCTCTGTCTTCAGCTGCTCTATCCGTTTACAGACCTGCGTTTACTTACAGTGCCCCAGTAACTAAAACCAGGAAAAAGCGAAAATTCTTTCCAACCAGCACCATCCTGCCACTGTCCAGGCCGGTCGGCCTGCGGTCTGAGAGCCCGCCTTCTGTTGTCCAGTCTGGTGACTCGGTGCCCGCTGTTCTACCAGGTGACTCGGTGCCCGCTGTCGTGCCAGGTGACCAGGGTGACTCGGTGCCCCCTGTCGTGCCAGACGACCAGACGACCGGGGCCCCCTGTCGTGCCAGACGACCCGGGGCCCCCTGTCGTGCCAGACGACCCGGGGCCCCCTGTCGTGCCAGACGACCCGGGGCCCCCTGTCGTGCCAGACGACCCGGGGCCCCCTGTCGTGCCAGACGACCCGGGGCCCCCTGTCGTGCCAGACGACCCGGGGCCCCCTGTCGTGCCAGACGACCCGGGGCCCCCTGTCGTGCCAGACGACCCGGGGCCCCCTGTCGTGCCAGACGACCCGGGGCCCCCTGTCGTGCCAGACGACCCGGGGCCCCCTGTCGTGCCAGACGACCCGGGGCCCCCTGTCGTGCCAGACGACCCGGGGCCCCCTGTCGTGCCAGACGACCCGGGGCCCCTGTCGTGCCAGACGACCCGGGGCCCCCTGTCGTGCCAGACGACCCGGGGCCCCCTGTCGTGCCAGACGACCCGGGGCCCCCTGTCGTGCCAGACGACCCGGGGCCCCCTGTCGTGCCAGACGACCCGGGGCCCCCTGTCGTGCCAGACGACCCGGGGCCCCCTGTCGTGCCAGACGACCCGGGGCCCCCTGTCGTGCCAGACGACCCGGGGCCCCCTGTCGTGCCAGACGACCCGGGGCCCCCTGTCGTGCCAGACGACCCGGGGCCCCCTGTCGTGCCAGACGACCCGGGGCCCCCTGTCGTGCCAGACGACCCGGGGCCCCCTGTCGTGCCAGACGACCCGGGGCCCCCTGTCGTGCCAGACCCGGGGCCCCCTGGGGACCCCCCCCTGTCGTGCCAGACGACCCGGGGCCCCCTGTCCTGCCAGACGACCCGGGGCCCCCTGTCCTGCCAGACGACCCGGGGCCCCCTGTCCTGCCAGACGACCCGGGGCCCCCTGTCCTGCCAGACGACCCGGGGCCCCCTGTCCTGCCAGACGACCCGGGGCCCCCTGTCCTGCCAGACGACCCGGGGCCCCCTGTCCTGCCAGACGACCCGGGGCCCCCTGTCCTGCCAGACGACCCGGGGCCCCCTGCCGCGCCAGGTGACCCGGGGCCCCCCTGCCGCGCCAGGTGACCCGGGGCCCCCTGCCGCGCCAGGTGACCCGGGGCCCCCTGCCGCGCGCCAGGTGACCCGGGGCCCCCTGCCGCGCCAGGTGACCCGGTGCCCCCTGTCGCGCCAGGTGACCCGGTGCCCGCTGTCATGCCAGGTGACTCGGTGCCCGCTGTCGTGCCAGATGACTCGGGGCCCGCTGTCGAGCTTGGTGACTCGGGGCCCGCTGTCGAGCTTGGTGAACCGGTGCCCGCTGTTCTGCCAGATGATTCGGGGCCCTCTGTCGTGCCAGATGACTCGGGGCCCGCTGTCGAGCTTGGTGACTCGGGGCCCGCTGTCGAGCTTGGTGACTCGGGGCCCGCTGTCGAGCTTGGTTAGCCGGTGCCCGCTGTTCTGCCAGATGACTCGGTGCCCGCTGTCGAGCTTGGTGACTCGGTGCCCGCTGTTCTACCAGGTGACTCGGGGCCCGCTGTCATGCCAGATGACTCGGGGCCCGCTGTCGAGCTTGGTGACTCGGGGCCCGCTGTCGAGCTTGGTGAACCGGTGCCCGCTGTTCTGCCAGATGATTCGGGGCCCGCTGTCGTGCCAGATGACTCGGGGCCCGCTGTCGAGCTTGGTGACTCGGGGCCCGCTGTCGAGCTTGGTGACTCGGGGCCCGCTGTCGAGCTTGGTGAACCGGTGCCCGCTGTTCTGCCAGATGACTCGGTGCCCGCTGTCGTGCCAGGTGTCTCGGGGCCCGCCGTCGAGCTTGGTGACTCGGGGCCCGCTGTCGAGCTTGGTTAGCCGGTGCCCGCTGTTCTGCCAGATGACTCGGTGCCCGCTGTCGAGCTTGGTGACTCGGTGCCCGCTGTTCTACCAGGTGACTCGGGGCCCGCTGTCGTGCCAGATGACTCGGGGCCCGCTGTCGAGCTTGGTGACTCGGGGCCCGCTGTCGAGCTTGGTGAACCGGTGCCCGCTGTTCTGCCAGATGATTCGGGGCCCGCTGTCGTGCCAGATGACTCGGGGCCCTCTGTCGAGCTTGGTGACTCGGGGCCCGCTGTCGAGCTTGGTGTCGAGCTTGGTGACTCGGGGCCCGCTGTCGAGCTTGGTGACTCGGGGCCCGCTGTCGAGCTTGGTTAGCCGGTGCCCGCTGTTCTGCCAGATGACTCGGTGCCCGCTGTCGAGCTTGGTGACTCGGTGCCCGCTGTTCTACCAGGTGACTCGGGGCCCGCTGTCGTGCCAGATGACTCGGGGCCCGCTGTCGAGCTTGGTGACTCGGGGCCCGCTGTCGAGCTTGGTGACCCGGGGCCCGCTGTTCTGCCAGATGATTCGGGGCCCGCTGTCGTGCCAGATGACTCGGGGCCCTCTGTCGAGTTTGGTGACTCGGGGCCCGCTGTCGAGCTTGGTGACTCGGGGCCCGCTGTCGAGCTTGGTGACTCGGGGCCCGCTGTCGAGCTTGGTGACTCGGGGCCCGCTGTCGAGCTTGGTGACTCGGGGCCCGCTGTCGAGCTTGGTGACTCGGGGCCCGCTGTCGAGCTTGGTGACTCGGGGCCCGCTGTCGAGCTTGGTGACTCGGGGCCCGCTGTCGAGCTTGGTGAACCGGTGCCCGCTGTTCTGCCAGATGACTCGGTGCCCGCTGTCGTGCCAGGTGACTCGGGGCCCGCCGTCGAGCTTGGTGACTCGGGGCCCGCTGTCGAGCTTGGTTAGCCGGTGCCCGCTGTTCTGCCAGATGACTCGGTGCCCGCTGTCGAGCTTGGTGACTCGGTGCCCGCTGTTCTACCAGGTGACTCGGGGCCCGCTGTCGTGCCAGATGACTCGGGGCCCGCTGTCGAGCTTGGTGACTCGGGGCCCGCTGTCGAGCTTGGTGAACCGGTGCCCGCTGTTCTGCCAGATGATTCGGGGCCCGCTGTCGTGCCAGATGACTCTGGGCCCTCTGTCGAGCTTGGTGACTCGGGGCCCGCTGTCGAGCTTGGTGACTCGGGGCCCGCTGTCAAGCTTGGTGAACCGGTGCCCGCTGTTCTGCCAGATGACTCGGTGCCCGCCGTCGTGCCAGGTGACTCGGGGCCCGCCGTCGTGCCAGGTGACTCGGGGCCCGCCGTCGTGCCAGGTGACTCGGGGCCCGCTGTCGAGCTTGGTTAGCCGGTGCCCGCTGTCGTGCCAGGTGACTCGGTGCCCGCTGTCGTGCCAGGTGACTCGGTGCCCGCTGTCGTGCCAGGTGACTCGGTGCCCGCTGTCGTGCCAGGTGACTCGGTGCCCGCTGTCGTGCCAGGTGACTCGGTGCCCGCTGTCGTGCCAGGTGACTCGGTGCCCGCTGTCGTGCCAGGTGACTCGGTGCCCGCTGTCGAGCTTGGTGAACCGGTGCCTGCTGTTCTGCCAGATGACTCGGTGCCGTGCCAGATGACTCGATGCCATGCCAGATGACTCGGTGCCCGCTGTTCTGCTAGATGGCCCGGTGCCCGCTGCCTCGCCTGATGGCCCGGTGCCTGCTGCTCCACCTGACGTGCCTCGTGCCTGCTGCTCCACCTGACGTGCCTCTGCCCGCTGCCCAGCCTGACGTGCCTCTGCCCGCTGCCCAGCCTGACGTGCCTCTGCCCGCTGCCCAGCCTGACGTGCCTCTGCCCGCTGCCCAGCCTGACGTGCCTCTGCCCGCTGCCCAGCCTGACGTGCCTCTGCCCGCTGCCCAGCCTGACGTGCCTCTGCCCGCTGCCCAGCCTGACGTGCCTCTGCCCGCTGCCCAGCCTGACGTGCCTCTGTGCTGCCTAGCCTGACGTGCCTCTGTCCGCTGCCCAGCCTGACGTGCCTCTCTCTGGAGCTTGCCGTGCTTGACCCGCAGACTTTTCACTGGCCCGCCACTCTCCCAACAGCTCTGAAAGGGTCTGAACCAGATCCGGAAACAACCCTACCCATGCAGGCGGTCTCTCTGCCACCATATTACCAAAGTTAATGTTTCATGAACATCAGAGAAAAAAAAAAAAAAAACTATCGGGTTGACCATACCTAGGCCACCCTCCCGCCTGGATGAGTAAGTTACATCCCGCTTGACAAGGTTCAGCCTGTTCCCCCATAACATCTGGAAGAAGCAGCTGTAGCTCCTCGTATAGAGCGATTCTGGCAAAAGACAGACAAAGCTGCCATACAAAAAGATAGGAACCAGGAAAGTCTTAATTAAGTCGACCCTTTCCCTTAAGGAGAGCCGCCACCCCTTCCAACACCTCACTTTGACCTCGGCATCAGACAGCCTAGCCTCCCAATTTGACTTGCTGTATTCAGTGGGACCGAAATTGATGCCTAGGAATTTTATACTCCGCTGAGGCACTGGGAAGGTGTCCGAGAGTGAGAAGTTCTCACCATCCCTACCCATCCAGAAAATTTCACACTTATCCTGGTTGACCTTGGAGCCTGACGCCTCAGAATACTGATCCATCACCGAGACTACCTCCTGCGCCTCCTCAGTCCGGAGATGAAGACAGAAACGTCATCAGCGTAAGCAACGACCAGAGAGGGACCCCCAGCAGCACCCACCGGCACCCCGCCCAATGCCCCACCATCCAACCTCCTGACGAAGGGATCAATAGCAAAGGCATAGAGCAAGGGGCTCAGCGGGCACCCCTGGCGTACACCAGATCCGACCCCAAAAGGCCGCCCAACCCAGCCATTCACCAACATGAAACTTTCAGCCTCTCTATACAGTGTCTTAAGCCAGCCAATAAACCTCCTCTCTGGGCCATACCGGTCCAGGAGGTGCCAGATGTACTCATGATCGACTCGATCGAAGGCCTTTGCCTGGTCCACTGTCAGCAAGTACTTCCCCCAGCCCTCAGCCTTACACTGCTCCAGAGCCTCTCAGACAGCTAACACCGCTGTAAAGGTACTCCTGCCCTGGATCAAGCAATGCTGCAGCCGTGAAAGCAAACCGTCCGCCACTGACGACAAGCGCCAGAACAAGATCTTTGCCAGAACCTTTCTATCGACATTGAGAAGGCTAATGGGACGCCAATTCTCAATAGCCGACGGATCCTTACCTTTTGACAAAAGAATTGCTTCAGATCATCTCATGGAGGGAGGGAGAGAACCCCTCATCCACACAGCTGTTATAAACCTCCACAAGATGGGGTGCCAAGCTGGACTTAAAAGTTTTAAAAAACTCAGCTGTCAAACCATCTGGCCCAGGAGTCTTTTTAATGGCCAGACTGTCAAAACTCTGTTGACCTCTTCTGCTGTAATTACCCCTGTCAAACTTGCCGCCCGGACATTACCTTCCAAACCTGGTGTAGATTCCAAAAAGCTCAACATCCTTGTCCGGTCAAGGCTCTTCACACTCAGTAAGTCCTCATAAAAGGACCTAGAGACCTCCAGAATCCCTGACCTGGATTTTGCCAGGGACCCCGTACTATCCCTTAAGGCAGAGACCATTTTAACCGCTGCACTCTGGTTGCAGTTCTGAAAAGGTTCGGGCGAGTGATATTTCCCATAATCCCTCTCCAGGACCAAAGAGGCACGCTGGTCGTATTGGAACTTCCTGAGGAGATGCTTAGCCTCCGAGATTGCCCCAAAATCTCCACCGCTAGAGACAAGGCGGTCGAGCTTCCTCCGCAACCGTTGATAGGCGTTGTATCTATCAAGCTGTTTTCTTTTCCCTATGGCCTTGAAAAACCTGCCGATTCGCAACTTGACAAGCTCCCACCACTCTGACTTACTGTTGCAGAAATCCAGCAAAGTCACCTGAGCCTGAAAGAACTCCTCGAAGGATCGTCTCACCTCCTCGTCTTCCAGTAGAGACAAATTCATTCTCCAGATGCCCTTCCCTCTCAGCGGCGTGTCTGAAACATTCAAAATCACAGTAAGCATAAGGTGATCAGAGAACTCCACCGCTTGACACTCAGGTGCCGAGAAGGCAGAGTTCTCCTTTAAAAAAAAAACCTGTCTATCCTACTCTGACTGCTCCCTCTCCTAAACGTGAAACCAGTGCTGTCTGGGTTGCTCTTAACCAAGGCATCCACCAGACCTGCTTCCCTGACCTTTGTATTCAAAAAGATGCTATCGTATCCCAGCCTGTCATTGAAGCCCCTCCTGTCCTTGGGCCTAGTTATGGTATTGAAGTCACTTCCAAAGACCACCAGCCGGGATGTAAACAAGAAAGGCTTGATCCTTGTGAAGAGACATTTCCTGTCCCATTTGGACTGCGGTCCATAGATATTAATTAGGCGCAGTTCCTGACCCCCCACAAGGACATCCAAGATCAGACATCTTCCAATCTCCACCTCAATTACCCACCAGCACGTTACCATACCGGTAAAAAGCACGGCAACTCCGGTGTAAGGTTTGGCCGCAAGAGACCAGAAAGATGGACCACGCCTCCACTCTCTTTTGGCCAGATGAATGTCAGCCAAGCTACACAACTGGGTCTCCTGCATGCAAAAATAAAACATCAGCATCAATACTGCTGAGAAAAAATAAGGCCGTTTCTCTAGCACTTACAGATTTTATGCTGGCAACATTAATAGTTGCCACCTTTATCAGAGCGGGAACTGCCATTAAGGTAATTGAGAATGGTGCTTCTTAACCTTCCTTTTGGTTTTCTTGGAAGGGTCCCTTGACCTCTTCAGAGACCCCCCCTTGTCCTCATCTTCCATTGGGGAAGTAGGATCACCTGCTCCTCCCCCTCCCCAGACAGAGTCCCAAACTTGTTCCCCAGAACCAGATCCCCTCCCTCTAATAAGGAGACCGACACCGCTGGGGAAAGGACAGGCTTATTGCCCTTCTTACCTGTAGACCACCCTTCTTCCACCTGGACCCCCACCTGACCTCCCTGAACAGGAGCCTGGGATACCTTATTAGGCACCTTATCCCAACGCAGCGGGAGGAGAACCCGGGGAATGGACACAGAAGGCCCAACTGTAACCTCCACCACCTCAGCCCCTTTGGCTGCCTCCACCAATTTCTTTCCCTTCTTTTGAAGGGGGATGGACACCACGGATGATACTACTGGAATCCTAACCGAGTTTGTAGACTCAACCAGGGCACCCCTCAGGGACCACAGAAACCTCCTCCACCTCCCCAGGGCCTGCCCCAGAAGGCAGGGTGGCCTTCACTACCTCCACCGCCGCATCCTCGGCATCCAGCCTGTCTAATTCAGCTACTAACTCCCTATCTGAGATGTTACGGAGGGCTTCAGGACATGAATTATAGGAATGCCCCAGAGAACCACACAGATTGCACCTTATTACGCTGCAATCCTTGGCCAGGTGCCCAATCTCCTGGCACAAGGAGCTGCGCATCACTGGACAGGTGGCGGCAAAATGCCCCTTGGCACCACACCGGTGACATACCCGCGGTTGGCCGGGATAAAAAATAATTAACCTATCCCTGTCAAGGAAGGTAGAGGAAGGAATATGCTGGAGCACATTCCCCTCCACCCTCAAGCGGACGGTGGTCGTCCACCCGCCTGTCCAGATCCCCCTTTCATCTGTAGTTTTACTCAGGGGTGCCATAACATCCCCAAATCTCCCCAGCCACACCACAATATCTGCAGGGGGGGATCGACTCATTTCTCACCAGAACCGTGATTTTCTTGACCATGTTCTGGCGAGATAACAATTTTGTAGACAGACCAACCCGCTACGGGCATAGATGGACTCGTACCTTTGCCAAAAAAGATCTAGCAAGTCTGGCCGCATAAAAGACAAGTCGTATTTGCCCGTACCTACGGGCAATGAAAGCAAACAGATCAGTTGCTTTATAACCCATCTCAAGAATACGATCGATTACTTCCCTCCGACCTAAAGGGGGGCCCTCCCCTGTCCATTTTAACTGGACGACATTTCTGCGGGCAGCAGAAGTCGGTAAGTTGCCTGCCCTAGCTTGCAGTGGCCTGGCCGGCCCCTGCCCACCCCTAACCACCACCGAGTAGCTTAAAGCGGGTGTAACTGCAGGGGCACTCCCAACAGAGGGAGCAGGACCCGAGGAAACCACAGCCAGGGCAACAGAGGGAGCCTGAACCTGAGGACCAGGGACCACCGGGTCAGACCCCTGAACCTGGGGACCCGGACTACCAGAAGGGGGACTGGACAAAGCAGAGCCCTGGGGGACCCGCACCTGTACCTCAGAAACAACTACAGGGGAACTAAGCAGTGCCTGGCCTGCAGGGACTTGGGTTTGGGAACTCAGCCCACCAGATAGGGACCCCAACGGGACAGACAGAGGGGGACAGAGGAACCCGGACCACTCGATCCCTGCACTGCAGGAGGAGCCTGCACTATAGGTATAGCCCCAAACATATTACCAGCAGGGATGTCCATTGGCGTGTCACCGCCAGACTTTGTCCTGCAGCACACCTTCAGCCATCAGCACGCCATCCTTTACTAATACGGAGCTCCCCAGCTAGCTGGGGATTCTCTTCAATTGGACGAAAACCGCACGGTCCTTCTTCACCGGCTTAGCCGGCTTACGCAGCATATTCTCTTCGTCACTTCCAGAATCCTCGGAAGTGAACTGGAAGTGGTCACTTTTCAATGCCGGCACTATTTCCTGGACGAAGCTGAGCTTTCCCGCAGTCTCCGCTTCCTCCACTTACGTTCCCCAATCTGCACTCTGCTGCCCGAGGGGGAGGGAGCTTGACTCACATGTGGCCTTGGCGTCCTCCATATTGGCCAGTGCCACTTCCGAAATTGATGCAGCGGGCTCAGCCAGCCCCTGCAGTGGCTCACCTCCTATCACCGATGCATCCGACAGCTCCTCCATGGAGGAGACCTCATCCACAGGGCCTCTTTCCGCCGCCACAGACTTGCTCCTAGCCGCTTTGAAGTGGCTATTGTTTGCATATTTCTCCCTCAAGACTCTGCTCTTTTTCTTGAGGGCCGCCACATACTTCCCTTGGAGGGAGACACGCTGCTCCAAGGCCTCCAAACCAGGATTCATTCATGGCCTGTCTCTGAGCTTCAGACCCGACCGTAAGTGGTGCGCATCTTCTTGAGCTCCATGTTCAACTTAGCCAGCTTGACCTCTCTCCACGGTCTTTATCTGGGCAGCTACCCGGTCTCTATACTCTGCGTATCCTTCCCCCTTCTTTGGGGCTGTTCCCAGGTCCTCTATGGATGGGAAGCCAGGACCGGTACTAGGCCCCTCCGGGGGTCTCCCACCACTGGACTCAGGCCCAGGATCCGCCATCCTCCCTGGCCTTGAGCAGGGCTCTTTAGCCCCAGGCTTTTCAGACCTTACTGGAGCTCAGCTGAACTCTCCAGCATACAACCACACCCGTCAGGAATGGAGATATTTTATTATGTATTTGAGTCATCATACTTTTCTTATAAAAGTAAAAAACATAAATAAATAAATACAAACATGAAACTCATGCACAAACAAAAGTCCAGAAACTCCTGAAAAGGAAAAACTTTAACAAAAAAACGCCCTTTAGGCTTACTATATAGTAGTCCCAGGCCTATATTGGCCTATTACTTAAGTCCAAAGAGCCTTAATGACCAGAGAAAGTTCATCCCTAAAAGGAGAAAAAAATCCATATATACATAGGCCTTTATGGCCAAAAACATGCCCATATCCAAGAACTTATATAGCACAGGATATTCCCATGCAGTAGGCCTATTTGGCCAAAGAAAGGACACATGCAATTTCCAATCTCCCGCAATACTCGGCCTTTATGGCCTAAACTCACCATAGAAAGAGAAGTTAACACTTAAACAACATTACAAACTTACCAGAAGGAAGGCCAAGAAACATAGACCTTCAGCGTCGCGACCTTTCATAAAATGGAATATTTCTTGACAAAATCTAGGGGGGTGAAAAAGGAGGAAAATAGGGACAGATGCCACCACCCGAGATCAGCAGACAGCAGCTACAGGCCTGATGTTCCTCCACACCTCCATCCAGGCCTTCCGCCGCCACCTGCCTTTCTCAAGGCCCCGAACTTCCTAACCTCACCAAGGATGTCACGCACCACCACCTGAACGGGGAGGACTTTTTTCCGAATAGAGACCTGACACCGTGCGTTCCATGTGTAATACCGGACCACTACACTAACTAAGAACAGGGTGTCCAAATCAAAATCCCGGCGGCTTTCAAATGCTCCATACACCCACTATGCATAAGACATGCAATGGAGGAAAGAGACACCCAGAGCCCCACCCACCTCTCTGTACACTTCTACGTTAAAGGGGCACTGAAGCAGGAAGTGGTCCATAGTTTCCACTTCACCCTGACACTCCGACTTCGGACAACCACGGTCATCCAGAGGATGGCACTTCAAGTTGCCCCTCACGTAAAGTCTGCCATGAAAGGCGAGCCAGGCCAGGTCCCTAAACTTCAAGGAAATCCGTTTCAGATATAACAAACGTAAACCCTCCCTCATGATATAGCCTGGGCAATCCTTCAGGGCCAACGGCGCATGGAAAGCGGTCGCCACAATCCTCTCACCTAGGAGTCTCCTAGGGAGGGATCTGACTTCCTCCGCTGTCACATGCCAATGCCGAAGTAACTTCAGGCACAGGGCCACATAAGCCGGGAGCTTACCGTGCTTGACCCGCAGGCTTTTCACTGGCCCGCCACTCTCCCAACTGCTCAGAAAGGGTCTAAACCAGATCCGAAACAGCCCTACCCATGCAGGTGGTCTCTCTGACAGCATGCTACCAAAATTATGTTTTAAGAACATCAGAGAGAAAAAAAAACACCGGGTTGACCATACCTAGGCCACCCTCCCGCCTGGATGAGTAGGTCACATCCCATTTGACAAGGTTCAGCCTGTTCCCCCATAACATCTGGAAGAAGCAGCTGTAGAACCTTGTATAGAGCGATTCTGGCAAGAGGCAAATGAAACTGACATACAAAAGCACGGGGACCAGGAAAGTCTTGATCAAATCAACCCTTTCCCTCAAGGAGAGCCGCCACCCCTTCCAGCATCTCACCTTGACCTCGGCATCAGACAGTTTGGCCTCCCAATTTGATTTGCTATAATCAGCAGAGCCGAAATTGATGCCTAAAACCTTTACACCTGTTGAGGCACCGGGAAGGTGTCCGGGAGTGAGAAGTCCTCACCCTCCCTCCCCATCCAGAGAACTTCGCATTTGTCCTGGTTGACCTTGGAGCCAGATGCCTCGGCATACTGATCCATCACTGAGACCACCTCCTGCGCCTCCTCCAACCCAGAGATGAAAACAGAAACGTCATCAGCATAAGCTACGACCCTCAGGGGCGGATCCCCAGCGGACCCCACCGGCACCCCACTCACCGCCCCACCATCTAGCCTCCTGACGAAGGGGTCGATGGCAAAGGCGTAGAGCAAAGGGGCTCAGTGGACACCCCTGGCGCACCCCGGATCCAACCCTAAAGGATCTCCCAACCCAGCCATTCACCAACATGAAGCTCTCAGCCTCCCTATACAACGTCTTCAGCCAGCCAATGAACCTCTCCTCCAACCGTACCAGTCCAGGAGATGCCAGAGGTACTCCTGATTGACTCGGTCCAATGCCTTAGCCTGGTCCACTGCCAGCAGAAACTTTCCCCATCCTTCAGCCTTACATCGTTCCAGGGCCTCCCGGACAGCTAACACCGCTGTGAAGGTGCTTCTGCCCTGGACCGAGCAATGCTGCTGACGTGAAAGCAAGCCATCCGCCACTGACGACAGGCGCCAGAACAAAATCTTAGCCAGCATCTTTCTATCGACATAGGCTAATGGGGCACCAGTTCTCAATAGCCAAAGGATCCTTACCCTTTGACAGAAGGATAACTGCAGACTGCCTCATGGAGGGAGGGAGGGATCCCTCATCCAAACAGCAATTGTAAACCTCCGCAAGGTGAGGCTCCAAGCTGGTGTCACGATACAAGGTCAGGTTCAGAGACCAGTTGCTACAGCAGTTGTAAGGCTTACCTGAAACCAGCAGGATTGGTACACCAGTGTCCCACCCTGGGAATGACGCAGGCTCACCTGAGGTGCGGGGCATCCAAGCATCCACCGGTCTTCCCCAGAGCTCCTAATGGTGGAGATGGATTTGGCTGCGTGTGAATGCCAGGTCGCAGATCTCAGGATCACCCCACCAGGGAATGAGTAGGCTGGAAACCAAAAGCGGATCAAACAGTTCAGGGATCAAACAGAAGCGGAGTCAGTCACAAGCCAAGGGTCGGTCACCAATGGTAGTAGATAGGATGAGGCAGAATTGTAGTCAGTAGCAAGCCAAAGGTCGGTAACGTAGATGAAGACAGCAGCAGGAACAGTAAGCGGGATATTGGCTGGTAAGGCACAATAATCTGGCAACCAGGAAGTGCAGAGACATGGCTTTTATAGGAAGTTCATGGGATGAGCAAGGAGTTCAAGGTTCAAGACAAAACAGGGAAAAGGCAGGATCATCCAAAGAATTGTCAAGGGAGCTGTCCAGCATTCCAGGTGGCTCAGTGAGAAGAAACACTGTCTCTCACCGCAGAAGGCCCAGGTTCGATTCCAGGCTCTGACAGTACTCCCCTCCTCACAGGACGTCCCCTGGACGTCTTAGGACCAGGCTTGTGGGGAAACCTCTGGTGGAATTCTCTTGTTATGGCTCTAGAAAAACCTGCCAATCCGCACTTTAGTAAGCTCCCACCACTCCGACTTACTGTTGCAGAAATCCAGCACGGTCACCTGGGCCTGAAAGAACTCCTCGAAGGATTGTCGCACCTCCTCGTCTTCCAGCAGGGCCGAATTCAGCCTCCAGATGCCTTTCCCTCTCAGTGGCCTGTCTGAAATATATAAAGTCACAGTAAGCATAAGGTGATTGGAAAACTCCGCCGCCCTACACTCAGGTACCGAAAAGGCAGAGTCCTCCTTCAAAAAAACCTATCTATCCTACTCTGACTATTACCTCTCCTAAACGTGTAACCAGTGCTGTCTGGGCTGCTCTTAACCAAGGCATCCACCAGACCTGCTTCCCTGACTATAGCATTCAGAAAAACGCTGTCATATCCCAGCCTGTCATTGGAGCCTCTCCTGTCCTTGGGCCTAGTTACGGTGTTAAAATCACCTCCAAAGACTACCAGCCGGGACGTAAAAAGGAAAGGTTTAATCTTTGTGAAGAGGCATTTCCTGTCCCACTTGGACTGCAGCCCATTAACATTAATCAGACGCAGTTCCTGCCCCCCCGCAAGGACATCCAGAATCAGACATCTTCCAATCTCCACCTCAATAACCCGCCGGCACGTTACCATGCCGGTAACAAGAACCGCAATCCCGCTTGTAAGGGTCAGCCTCAAGAGACCAGTAAGAGGGCCCACGCCTCCACTCCCGTTTGGCCAGGTGTATATCCGCCAAGCTGGGCAACCTGGTCTCCTGCAAAAAGAAAATATCAGCATCCATACCACTGATCAAAAATAAGGCTGTTTCTCGTGCACTTACAGATTTCAGGCTGGCAACATTATTGGTTGCCACCTTCAATGGAGCGGGAACTGCCATTAAGGAGATTGAGAAAGACGTTTCTTGACCTTCCTTCTGGACTTTAGAGCAGGATCCCTCACCCTCTTCAGGGACCCACCTCCCTCCTCATCCTCCATCGGGGACGTGGGGTCACTAGAAGCCCCCCCCTTCCTCCCCCGACAGAGCCCCAAACCGATTATCCTGGGCAAAGTGTTCCACCTCCAAGGAGGAGACTGACCCCACCTCAGAAAGGACAGGCTGATTCCGCTTCCCCACAAGGGACCAACCCTCCTCCACCTGAACCCCATCCCGCTCCTCCCGAACAGGACCATGAGCCTCCCGAGAGACCCCCCCACTCCGCCTGCGAGGGAGAAGGACCGGGGGAACAGGCACAACAGACCTAGATCCTAACTCAACCACCCCCGCCCCTTTGGCGGCCTCAACCAATTTCCTCCCTCTCCTGGGAAGGGGGGGACAGGTGCTACAGAAGGGACTGCAGGGGACTCTACTGGATCAGGCTCAGCAGGGGTAACTGAAAATGGGCTGGGCCTCAGACGCCTCCCCTCCTGCCCCGGAAGACACTGCAGAAGCCACACCAGCCCTCTCCGCCCCCAACTCAGCCTCCTCAGCATCCATCCGGTCCAGCTCTGCTGCCAACTCATCTACAGGCAAGTTGCGTAGAGCCTCAGGACATTGACTATAGGAGTGTCCTAAAACACCGCAGAGATTTAAACGAATCTGGTTGCAGTCCCTCGCCAAGTGACCGATTTCCTGGCATAGGGAACACCTAATAACAGGACAGGTGGCGGCGAAATGCCCCTTGCCACCACATCTGTGGCACACCCGAGGCTGACCCGGATAAAAAATGATCAACCGGTCTTTCCCCAAGAAGGCCGAGGAGGGTATGTGTTGCAGGACGTGACCGACCACCCTCAAACAGACATGTGCCGTCCATCTTCCCGTCCAGATTTTCCTATCATCCAAAATTTTCTGAAGGGGTCCCAACACATTTCTATATCTCCCCAGCCAGACAACTACTATATCCGAGGCCAGAACAGACTCATTGCGGACGAGAATTGTCACCTTTTTAATCACGTTCTGACGTGAAATAAGCTTTGGGGTGAGACCCGCCCACCTGGGGCTTTTGACGTAGGTGGCCTCGAATTTTTGCTACAAAAGGTCGAGCTGATCTGCCCTCACAAAGGACAGGTCATACTCGCCCGTGCCCACTGGGGCAATGAAGGCAAAAATGTAGACCGCCCAGAATCCCATTTCTAGGACCCGGTCTATAGCCTCTTTGCGGCTCAGAGGGGGACCCTCCCCGGTCCATTTTAATTGTATTACATTCCTGCGAACCTCAGATGTTGGTAGGTTCCCCACCCTTGCTTGGAGTGGCCTAGCTGACTCCTGACCCCCCCCACCCACTGCAGATGGACCTGAAACAAGAGGGACAACAGCCGGAGCAGCTGAGACTGTAGAGCCAGCCCCAGGCAAAACGGGCTCAGCAGAGGCCAAAGGCCGAGGGATTGGACCAGCAGAGGTGAGACTCCGCACCACAGACCCTGGGGAGACATGAGCAATAGCAAGGGGACCAGGCCAACTAGGCACTGCACCAGGAGCAACCACCACCCCCAAGGGACTGGGCGGGACCTGGACCGGAGCACTGACAGGGGCAGCAACACCAACCCCTGAACTTACAAAGGGAACCCCCACCACAGACCCTCCAGCACATGCATCCCCAGCCACCGCTACATTACCAGGCACATTACCACCCAATGCTTCAGAGTCCTGCACCACATCCTTAACCGCCAGTTCTCCAGCTCTTGCAAGCAGGCCACTCTCCAGAGCGTTAGGCATACGCTTGAGCTTCACACACACACCGCCCGCTCTGTTAGAACCGGCTTTGGCGGCTTCCGTGACGCCACTTCCTCCACTTCGCCATTAGACTGCTCCAAAGCAAAGCGGAAGGCATCCGCCTGTAGTACCTTCCCCACTTCTGCTTCGAAGCAAAGCTCTCCCGCTGCCTCCGCTTCCTCCATCCGTGTCCCCCAATCAGCCAACTGCTGCTGCCCAAGGGGGAGGGAGCCAGACTCTCCCGCACTCACCGCGGCCACTGCGTCTTCCTTATTGGGATCAGTGCCATGCTGGGAAGATGCAGTGGGCTCAGCTGGCCCCTGCACCTGCTCACCTTCCACCATGAGCTCCTCTGACAATTCCTCGGAGGAGGAGGCCTCCTCCACAGGGCCCCTCACAGCTTCAACACTGCGGCTTCTTGCTGCCTTGAATCTGGTGTCATTCTGGTACTTTTCCCAGAGGATTCAACTCTTGCGCTTCAGCGCCGCCACATATTTTTCCTGCAGGGAAACACGCTGCTTCAATGCTTCCAGGCCTGGCTTCATTGCCTCGCGTTTGGAGCTCCATACACGGTCATACTGTGACCCGGGCAGCCACACGGACCCGATACTGTGAGTAGTTCTCACCCTTCCTTGGGGGCGCTCCCAGGTCCTCCACTGGTGGAAAGCTGGGACAGGTACTAAGCCCCTCAGGGGACCTTCCTCCTGCAGGGCCAGGCCCTGGATCCGCCATCCTTCCTGGGCTGGCTGGGACACTCAAGCCCCTGGCTTTTCAGGCCTTTCTGGAGCTCAGCAGAGCACAGTCCAACACAACCTCTCCACACGGTGTCAGGAATGGAGATTTTTTATTGTATTAAATTCATACAAAACACCAAACCAAAAGTTATATACAAAAGTATAAAAATATAAATAGGTATAAACATTACCCAAACGAAAACAAAAAACAGAATTTCCTGGGAAGAACACAACAGAAAGACACTCATAGCTTTTATAGCTAAAGACTAAAAGTCCATTTCCTGGAAGGGAAAGAAATTAAATTTTCATATAGGCCTTTATCGCCCGAGACCAAAAAAGAACAGTCAATTTCCATTCTACTACTTCTGATGGCCGTTATGGCCTAAACTAAGGCCTTGCATATCTAGACATATCCAAAACTAAACAAAGAACAACAACAACAGAAACAATACCTACCCATGAAGAAGGCTAAGAAAATTAGACCTTCAGCGTCAGCAGCCTTCCATCAAAAGGATTCCATACCAACAAAATCTAAGGGGTGAAAAAGGAGAAAACAGGGACAGATACCACCACCCGAGATCAACAGGCAGCAGCTACAGGCCTGATGTTCCTCCACGCCTCCATCCAAGCCTTTCGCCGCCACCTGTCTTTCTCAAGACCCCGAATCTTCCCAACCTCACCAAGGATGCCACTCACCCTGGATGGGGGGGACTTTCTGCCGAATGGAAACCTGACACCGTGCATTCCACATGTAATAACGGACCACTAAACTAACTAAAAACAAGGTGTCCAAATCAAAACCCAGGCGGCTTTCGAATGCTTCATACACCCACTCTGCATAAC